CTCTTCTCTTCTCTTCTCTTCTCTTCTCTTCTCTTCTCTTCTCTTCTCTTCTCTTCTCTTCTCCTCTCCTCTCCTCTCCTCTCTTTCTTCTCTTTTCTCTTCTTTTCTTTTTTCTCTCCTCTCCTCTCCTCTGTCCCCTCCTCCCGTCCTGTCCTGTCCTATCTTATACCATCCTATCCTATTCTTGTTGCTTCCTTGCCTTACCCTGTTCTGCTCTGCTGTCTTCTGTTCTGCAAAGGTTTAAGGGCTGATTCCAGGTAAGTTAAAAAATATGATAAATTCCAGAAATAATCCTGAAAGTGTAGGCTGTGAAATCCATCTTTACCGGCAGATAATTACAATGCTTGTATTGGAAGATTGCTGGATAGCCTTGCTAAAACACATTGAATGATTTATTAAACTCAGTTTTCTGCCCCATGCAGTCAGAATGACTCTCAGCGGCTTGCGTAGAATATAGAATTTATGACAATTATGGTGCCGCCTAAAACCAGATTGAAACTGACCCTCGCTAACAATACACACAGCCATCGCCTCCATCCCTAAGCATAAAAGCAATAAAAGATTAAAGATGGCATCTATGTAAACTCAGGGGAGAGTCCTCCAAAACGTTTCCAATATCCTGGTGAAGCTCTTGAAAATAATCTAATAAGCAGAATAAGGCCTGTCCAAATAGAAAATAACCTTGAAGCCAAGTTCATCTTAATTATATTTATCTTACAAGAAATACTCAAAGGAATTTAAGCCCATCTTTCTTTCTTTTTTTAAAAAAAACTTTCATTTACACTGAAAGAGGAGGGGAAAAACTTCACATTTACCAAGTAGGAAATGTCCCTGGGAATTATTACAATACCAAGAGTGGGGGGGTCTTGAATTTGGTAGAGAGTTTTTGGTAGGTCCCATTCTCCCTGATTCGCCTCGGTTGCATTATGCTCAGAGCCCTTCATTTTATGTAAGCAGGTGGTGGCCAAAAAAATTGCAGAAGCCAGGAAACATGTTCTGCAATGGGATGCAATTTCTTACGCCAAAAACCTGTCCCGCACGTCCTAAATACAGACCTCAGGGGAACTTAGAAGCCGAGACAATTTTGCTCCGTTGCAAAAAAACCAAAACACTCCAAACCCCATAAAATGTGGAAATTGCAGTTTGTTGAGAGAGGCTCTCGGCTTATTGGAGGAAAAATCTAATTATTGGTGAACTTTCTTGATTCACAGTCGGTGGAGCTTCGGCTAAATTCCTTCCCTGATGATGAAAAAAAAACAACAACCCAAGTTCCAGAGTTTGCTGTTACGCGGGTTGTTTTTGTCTCAGTCTGCAAAATTCACACTGCAATGCAGAGTGATGGAGGAGATGTGGGGAGGGAGTTCATTCATTTAATGAGTACAGGTAGTCCTTGAGTTACAACCATAAGTCACATTGAACGTAAAGCAAGTCACCACGGTCCAAACTTCAAAATGGGGTTGTAAATCCCTTTTGGGATGTCTGTGGCAACCTTGAATGGCTGCCAACGACCAATTGTAAATTGAGGTTTACCTGTACAGGTAGTCCTTGATTTACAATGGTACATTTAGTGACCGAAGTTACAACGGCACTGAAAAAAGGGGCTTATGACCATTTCTCACACTTGCAGCACCCCCAAGGTCACATGATCAAAATTCAGACGCTTGGCAAATTGACTCACATTTATGACGGCTGCAGTGTCCCTGGGGTCATGTGATCCCCTTTTGCGACCTCCTGACAAGCAAAATCAATGGAGAAGCCATTCACTTAACAACTGGCTTATTAATTTAACAACTGCAATGATTCACTTAACAATGCTGGCAAGAAAGTTTGTAAAACAAGGCAAAATTCATTTAACAACTGTCTCGCTTAGCAACAGAAACGTTGGGATCAATTGTGGTCATAAGTGGAGGACTACCTATATTTATAACTTTTATTTTTCCGAGTTGTGATTTCTTGTTCTGACCAAGGTTTGTTGAGACACTAACAAGCACGCGTTAGTCCCAAAACCCTTGTTTCTTTATTTCAACGGCTCGTAATGAGTCTCAAACAGTTTGTAAAGAGCCCCATGGAAGCCTGCCAAAGTCCTTCAGGATAAGTCTGACAAGCACACACCTTTATCTTCCTTGAAATGCTGCTAAATTTCCAATTAGTTATACGAGGCCAAATGGAGCACAAATTCAACACAGGGCTTCAGGTTTCAAACCGACCAGTACGAACAAAGTTGCTTCCTGCAAAGGCTCATGTCCCTTTGCTCCTCCTTTATGTCTTATGGGAGGGCCAATCATCTCCAAGCCTTACTCCCGAGTCGCCCCTTTTGTCTTAACTGTTCTTGCCTTCTGGCAGCTCTGCGCACATGCACATTGGGAACAGGCTCCCCTTGTTCCTCTGCCTCGCTGCTGCCAGATTCTGGAGGCTCCTGAGTTGGCACATAATTCCCAGATGGTCCTGGCCCCATCTCTGTATTGGATGCAGGACCCTCGTCTGAGTCCTCCCCAGAGTCCTGGACTGGCCCATATTCCTCCCCACTGTCCAACTCTACTGCCATCTCCGCAGATTGCTGGCGGATCACAACGTTTCTTTAGAGCGTGTCATACAGGCAGGGTTTCATTTAAATTTTTTTGAATAGGGGAATTAAATCAGCATTCCTGAAAGGCTGAGATCATATCGAACGCTTGCTGCTTCTTTCTTTCTCCACACCTACATAAATTACATCCTCTTAGATGCTAAGAACAGATGCTGTCAGCTAAAAACTCCAAGCATTTTCTTTTGTTAGCACATTTATTTTCCTTGACGTGAATAAATCAGCTTTAGTGATGATTCTGTCATAAAGGGCTGAAAAATTACTTTATATTGTAATGTTGGAGTGTCTCTTGTCTTGGCGTCCTATGTCATTATGGTTTTTTTTTAAGGTGACATATTTCTACATGTTCTATTGCACTGGTATCTTTTCATAAAGGTTACCTTGATGTATAAAAGAAAGTATAGATGAGAATAGATCTGATTTACCATTTTCTCATCCTTACTTTGATTGTCAACAAAGGAGCACTTCGCTCAAGAATATGGTTTAGTCTAGGGGTCTCCAACCTTGGCCACTTTAAGCTTGGAGGACTTCAACTCCAGAATTCCCCAGCCAGCTTTGCTTGTTAGAACACAAGAGGATGTAATTCACATAGGCGTGGAATTCTGGGAGTTGAAGTCCTCCAGGCTTAAAGTGGCCAAGGTTGGAGACCCCTGGTTTAGTCTTACTTCTTTTCCTGGCTTGTCTCTGTGGGCTGAGAGAGAGGGACAAACCTAAGTCTGTACATGGCTAAGGTCAAATTGAACCTAGATCTCACCATTCCTAGTCCAACACCTTTTAAATACTGGTCGGGAAAAAAAAAAACAGCCAGAAGGGAGGGAGGATCAAGCTTGGAGCTAGCTTAGAGTCACTGCAGAACCACAAAAGGAGTAGGGCTGACCCCAGGAATGGGCTGCTGAGGGTTTGCAGGGGTTCGGAAGAGCCCCTAGCTAAGATTCTGTGCAGTTTGGAGAACCCCCAAATCCCACTCCTGGCTGGCCCCGCCCACACCACATCACCCCTCCCAGGAGTCCCCACACGGGCCATTTTGGATGCAGGGAAGTGCAGGGCACATGCAGAGGCTCAGGGAAGGAAAAAACAGGCCTCACGGAAGTTCATGAAGGCCGGAAATGGGCCTGTTTCTGGCTTCCAGAGAGCCTCTGGAGCCCGGGGAGGCCATTTTCGCCCTCCCATAAACTTGAGGAAAGCCTCCGGAGCCTGGGGAGGGTAAAAACACCCCCTCACTGTGGTATAGGAGGCCAGCTAGGCCACGTCCACCATGGCCATGCACACCCAGCAACTGGACAGATAACCCTTTGCTAAAAATTTGAAGCCCACCCCTGGCTGACCCCCTCTAAGTTCCTTATCTAATTGTTCCCAGGGAGTTGGCTGCCAGGATGGGAGAGATTCCTGTATTATAGGCAGAAAATAATAAAGTACAGGGAGTCCTCGACTTACGACCATAATTGAGCCCAGAAGTTATGTTGCGAAGTGAGAAATTTGTTAAGCGAGCCTGCCCCATTTTACGGCCTGCCTGGTCCCAGTTGTTAAGTGATTCACTGCTGGAATTTAATATCCCGTTTGCTTGGTGCGTTCCTTGAACTCTGTGTCATTGTGCAGCTTCTCTTTTCTTCCAGGTTGGTTCTAGAGGAACAATTCAGGATTTCGCCGGGTTCAATGCTTCCAAAGATGCAGAGGCGCTCAAAACAGCCATGGAAGGACTGGGTAAGAACCCTTGTTTTCTTTGGGGAAGAAGGAGGCAGTTTCCTTAAAGCAGGGCTGTCAAACTCGATATCACCAGGGTTGTGTTTGACCTCGGGGCCAGCTTGACATCACTCGTGTCGGGGGCGGCTGTGGCAGCCCAAGGACTCTTCCAGAGAAAAGGGGCTCCCAAGCTCCGTTTTCAGCTGGGATGGCCTTCTGCAACCCTCTGACAGCAAAAACGGAGCTCGGGAGGGCCACGTTTTCGCTGGCAGAGGCACCGCGGGGCCAGTCCTTCGCTATTCCCAGGGTGGCCGCACAGGCCGGATCTAAGCAGTTGATGTTTCATATGATGACAATTTAGAATCCAAAACCTGTTACTTCTAACCCAAAACCAAGCCGCACGATACTCTGCTGCTTATCTCAGGCATTACTGAATGAAACTGGCCCATGAAACTGAGGTTTCCTTGTAAAGAAAACCTAAGAATGGGATACAGGTTGCCCATCGCTAAAGTTTTAATATGTTTTACTCCCAAGAGTCAAGATTCTTCCTCTTTCTGAGCTTCTTAATTTTGCTTTTAGGAACGGATGAAACAACGGTGATTGAGATCCTGACAGGGAGATCTAATGCTCAACGGCAGCTGATAGCTGAGGAGTTTAAATCTTACACCGGGAAGGTCTGCATCCTTGGGAAATACTGTGAAGGGGGCGTGTGCTAGGAGGGTGAGGGGCTCCATTATCTCCAGCTACCGATTCTTCATGGCAGATAGTATTGAAGAGTCAGTTTTTGGTGTAGTGGTTAAGATGCTGGCCTGGAAACCAGGCACTGTGACTTCTAGTACCCCCTCATGCATGTAAGCTGCATGGGTGACTTTGGACCAATCACCAGGTGATCATGAATTCTAGTACTACCTTTGGCATGGAAGCTAGCTGGGTGACTTTGGCCCAATCACCAGGTGATGATGAATTCTAGTACTGCCTTAGGCATGAAAGCTGGTGGGTGATTTTGGCCCAATCACCAGGTGATAATGAATTCTAGTCCCTCCTTAATCATGAAAGCTGGCCGGGTGACCTCGGGACAGTAACTATCTCTCAGCCCAATTCACCTCACAGGGTTGTTGTTGTGGGGAAAAAGAGGTTGAGGAAGAGTATTATGTACATTGTCTAGCATGAGTTACTTATAAAGTCATAAAAGGCAGGATAAAAATCTAATATTGTATTTCTGAAGGAGCAATTAGAGGAGTTCTCTTGGAGAAGGAATTTCCTTCTCCTGCCCCCTAAAACGGGAGAAAAGGAAGAAAAACCCAGTCAAAATGAATGTTCAGATCCTTGAGATGGGGTCTACCCTTCCAAAAACACCTTGCAGGGGGTTTATATCTGAAGTGGTACAGTCCAACTAAGTCTTTGCGGGGTAATAGCTCAGCCCAGACAAGATTTTCAATTTCTCACTGAG